AATCACCGTTATGGGAAAGTTTCAGCGACCGAACCACCATTATGGGAAAGTTCCAGCGAATTTTTTCTGAGATTTTGGGGTAGCAATAGTTCAATGGTGCCGATTCAAACTAGAAACTAACCAAAAACTCCTCAGAATTCATATTGTTCGCTGCGAAATATTCTGCCACGAGTTCGTCCGCAACCTAGAGAAGTAGGAACCCATCAAACTAGGTTAGCAGTGAAAATGGGCGAGTAACGTCAACATCCTAATCAAACTAAAGACACTAATAACCAAATCCAGTACTCGAAAAGAAAAGTGCTGACCTGATTGTAATTGGTGCGACCTTTCTCCTTAACTTTCTCACACACTTTGGTAGAGAAATGCCGTAAGCCCATCGACTTGTCAACATAAGGCTTACTGTCTACAGGAAGATCTGAGGCGAGGAGTCCACTAGGTCTAAAATTTCACTATAATATACAGTCCAGAACATCAATAAAAACGGATGGGCTTTTTAGGCGCGTTCATACTTCGTGACGACGCGCTACCATTGTAATGGCGCTCCAGTGCTCTCGGCAAGAATTCAACCTAAGGCGAGTATCGACATTAGACCAAAGTGTTGGGAAAGAGTTCATTATGCTCTAGTAGTTAGTTGAGCAGCGCCACGGGATGGCGCATCAACATCCTTCCCCTTTCCCAAGGTTTAGGCCTAGGAGAGCGCAGCAAACGACAAACGCGCGGGCGTTCTCTGTACAGGAGATAAGTCACGCCGCCGCATGGTCCACTCAAACACGATGGCACCAACTCGTGGAAACTTATATACAACCCAGCAGCCTACTAATTCACACGGAGATGTGAGAATGTTGAGAAGCTATGTTGTATGACACCTAGTAGAGGAAGAAAGCGGAAAGAAGTAAAGAATATCCATAAAAAGACAATCTCGCTCAGTTATTCGTTAGCGCCTCTTGTACAAGTAATGGAGCCATAGCTGAAAAGCATCAGGTCCGAAAACTCATCCAGCTAGCTGACGAGTCTTACTTTAAATGTCCTCCAAAAAAGTTTTTTTTTGCTTTTTCTCTCTGGAGGCCACTTCCCTGCTCTGCGGCGTTTGCACCGTGGAAAAAAGTAATTGTTTTATAGTGAGACGTACCGGAAACATGTAGCCACCCTAACGTCTGGGTATTTCTGTCTACTAGTTTGTGGAACATGTCGTCGTTGCTTTGAAGCTGTTCCGAGACGATAAATCCGTTTCCCTGAAAGAATCAGACGTCTGCTAAGAGCAAATACATTGAATTAATTGACTGGGATACCAGGAGCACGGTGGGGTATTTCGTAGGTTGCTGTCACCACATCGCGCTTCTTTGTAAAGTGCTAAGTCTTATAAACCCCCGTAAACTGAACCCACTTAATGATCACGAATTCCCAAAGCTCCTTTGGCGCGAAGGAGTTCGTTTACTCATCCTGGGGCTTCTTCTCCTAGGCACAGGCCAAACATCATTCCTTGGCTAACAACCTATTCTTCGCACTGTGATCATTACTCGTCCTTCATACCGCGGAACTAAAAGAAACTGTCAAAAAAATCTGCCCAATTTCGTTCGCTCCATAGCGCCGGTAGCCGACCAGGTATAGTTGTGGAAATATGCTTCAGAATGGTGGTGTGGTCCGCCTTTCAGCTGCTTCGCGGCAAAAAATTGTAAGGGGGGAGCGAAGGCGCAATATAGGTTCAGTGACGCTTCCTTCTTCAGACTTCGCCTTCTGGGCGTCCTAGTAAAAAAATGAAGACTTGCAGGACGAAAAGCGTTGAAAATCGTCACTGTACCGTCGCAGAAGTTCTTGCGCGGCAAATCAACTGGCGCAGGATGAGTGCATATGTGAGAATGCGCTTTAACTGGCACATGCTCATTGGATCCCGAATGGGGTTCTATAGCAGTTTTTTTTTTCGCTTTTCTCTACTACCAAGTTACTCAGAAGCCTTTCGTATGTCTGGAACCCCTAAACCACTATCAATGATTAAGGCTTTGACTTCAAAACAGTTTGCAGAGTTTCATAATTAGCGCACACGTTTACAGATCTGACAACTTACCCCCCCCCCCTAAAAACACATTAGCCGATGGGATATCGTCGACTAAGCAACCCGCGCTGAGCTGTGAACTAATTTCCCCGAAAAAGGCTTGGCATGACGCGCGGACAACAGGAGTCATCTGAAATAGATCCGCAAAAAAGACGTCTTCGTCTTCAGTGAGCCTAAGCCGTGATTAGAAGAAGGGGTAAGCAGGCGTTGGTGAGTGGTACCCCCCCCTTTCCCAACTGCGTTAGCACCAAAGCAACATTAAATTTCCAATGATAGGGAACTCACCGGAGTTACCTCCTGCTTGATGACATGTGCTAGATTGCGATCATATTTCGGACCAACAGCGTCACCCATCCTCGACACTTTTTTGGCAAAAAGTTGGAATGAGTAGAAGAAAAGATGTTCGCCTTGGTCTACCTAAATGTTAGTGTTCACATCTTAGTTTTGGTAGGTAAGTATATGAGAACAAAAGCATCACGGCGCTATTCAAATATTGTCACCCCTTTGAAATCAGCCCAGTTCTTTGACAACTTTATCTACAAGAGCAGATTTCGCTGAAATTTTCACGGGGATTTTCGACCCTTTGAATACATGCATATCATATCAGCTTAGCGTATACTGACTGGCGCCCGCGCCAGAGGCGCGGCGTCAAAACCACTGCAGCCACCAAATTCGCTGAAAACTTGTCCTCGGAAGTATTTTGGTCTTCTGAACATGAATATCACATCCGCTCGGCTCGTAACCGCCTGGCGACCGCGCTACAGACGCCAAAACACCTTCGATCACCAAAATCGATGAAAATTTACATACGAGGGTATTTGACAGCCTGATTACAAATATGGCATTTTTTAGCTCCCGCGCTAATGGAGGACATACGATCATCTGCGCTCTGCTAAGGCTAAGCCTAACCTGAAGGGAATCGCTCCGTCTCCAAGGTCCAGCCTTAGCAGAGCGCTAAATGCTGGTTCAAAAGATAAATGTCCACTCATGATTACGGCAAAAAACAACCCCATCACGCAAAAAAGTGTGGCGCCAAACTGGAGCCAGATGGCGCCCGCCAAAAATGAATGCCGTATTCGTGACCATGATGTCAACTAACTCCTGAATGAAAGGATTCATTGAATTCTGTGAAGAAGATAGAGGCGACAAACTGGCGCTAAATGGCGCAAGCGCTAAAAAGGAATGTCATATTCCTAAAAGGAATGTCATATTCGTGATCAGGGCCCCATAGTCAGAACTCAGCAGAATTTTTTTAAGTTTTTGGGGTAGGAATAGTACAATTGTGCAACTTGAAATATTACTGGCTGTTAGCTGAAGAAACTGTATGGCACCATGACTTTGCCGTGATGAAATGCAGAAACGTCGAGGAACTTCCGACTACGGGAAACCATTTGCTATCCTACACGTGCTTGTACTTGTGAGGAACGTCAATTCACTTTCCATAATATGAGAATTGAAAGAAAGAAGACGGAACTGAAAACCATCTGGGAAACAATTTTGAAACGCCTAAACTTCGCGCATTTGAAAAGCAACTTGTGCGATGTACTGCACGTGAAAATACACAACGCTTGAATCATCGTTTCCCTCAAACAGAAAATTTATGAGGAGTGTATGCATGTATATTTATGAGAACAAAGCATAAAAGAGTAATGCAACGTATCTACAAGTTCCGAATTGACATGTTCCGATCAGTGTACACATTAACCTATTTCACCAGGTAATCATGGATTTTGGAGGGTGGGTGAATAAAATGCCGAGCAGCCGAATTATGCGTAGGACCTGAGGGGTAACCATCAAATATTCGTTTCTGTAGTATTGAAGGCATGCTCCGCCTTAGTATGGTGTTCAGACGCTTTCTTTAAAGCAGACCATCCGGTGCCAAGTGCAGAGGATGTTTTTTCGCAGCTCAAAAATGCTTAATAAGGGCGCGACCCGCTCTCGACATGGGTGCATCCCTAAAGGATTCCTGGTGGTGCGACTGTTCCGGCATCTCTCCATTTCGAATGGTGAGAGTGAGGTGATAAATGGAAAGAGCTGACACCAACAAGAGAGAACTCGTCCAACCACGCCTCCTCATCACCGTATGCGCGTACAAGCTCGGTCCAGCATAGGGGTTCCACATGGGGCATTCCAGACAATTTCTTCCTTGATTTTTTCCTCACTAGCTGATCAATCACCACTTTTCGTTAGTATTTAAGCCGCACAATTCATCACGTTTGGATCTGCAGCGTGCCTTTGAATCACAAGCTCTGAATGTAACTTACTCAATCAATTACGCTATCTCATATTGGGATTTTGCTTCCCTTCTTTCAAAGCTTCTGCTCCATATCGCTGGGATGCGGTAGGCGTGGCTACGCACTTCGTTTAAACGCGACAGCGGCTGCGCTTTATCCGGGATGTTTTTGTTTCGGTGTATTGTAATCACGTCTTTATTCAACACAATAAAAGATGACAATTGTCCCATATTGAATGTGCCACATTGTGTTCCACAAATGCCGCGTCGTGCGCCAGTGTTCGAGAGAATTAATACGCCAGAGATCTACACACATTCCCAAGGATAAGGCGTTTATACTTTACATCACCGCAATTGTCGGGTCGCAATCAGCGGCTCGCACCTGCGGCGTTTCCATCATTGGTTGCTCCCTCCCTAAATCGTTCTTTACCCAATCGCCATTGGTAGAGCAACGAAGCCGAACGCCCATTTGGACCTGCTTGCACAGCCGCCCTCCGACAGCGCACAATGATGAGGACTGTATGTGCGTTTACGTGTAGCAAAACTGCACTACAATGTTCTTCTCCAACGATACGGTATCGCTAACAAAACCTTTCCAGATCATCCATTTGTGGAGATGGGTGATATTCTGGAACTAATTTATCAGCTAATCCTGCTTTTCCAAACCCCTCGCTCCTGGACTTTGGTTCATCTCTTTGTGTGACATGCGGCTTCGGTATTCAAACAGATTCTCCATAGGGCGGTTTTGTTTTTTTTTATGCACCACATACCCATTAAGGAACCCCTAAGTTAACTTTAGTAATGCTTCTTCCAGATGATACTATTATTACTACTACAACTACTATACTGGAAAGGAAAAGAATAACGCTTCCGCCTTCTATCAATTCTTTTTGTATGCGCCATGCGTTCGACATCCCTAATCGTAGCGGATTTTGAAAGCAATTTTGCCTACGCATACCTCTACTGCACCAGTGACATGTGCGACAAGCCGATGTATGTATCAAGCAGTGCTTTTATCCTTTATAAAGATCTGGTGTCAATTAACCGACCTCTGAGAAGTGGAAAACCAGGACGAGGGCTAACTAGGAATTGACCTCCGACTGTGCTTGTGAGAGCCCCTTGCCACTACATCACCTCCGCCAAACTGTATGTTGTAGTAGACCTAGACTTGATTTTCTGAAAAAAATTGCGCCAACAGGTTTACCTTTATAATCTCCATAGCAGGCATTTTCTGTTCACAGAAAAAAGAATTTTTTATACAGCATTAAAAGCACCAAATAAAAACACCAAGTAGCAAATGGCACATACAGTCGTTTTCGCTGACGCTGACGCTTGGGCGGGTCAACGGGCACTAGCTCGTTCTCCAGCTCTTGTATGTGAC